ATGTAAGCACAAGCCCTTATCTGTCCCTATTGCTCTTCAAATTTCCTCACCCTCTCCTCCTTCTTATATGAAAAAGAGACACTGTGATTTCTTTTCCCCCTGTTCTTATGGATTTTCACAAAGAAGGGGACCAAAGATGCTTCTAGGACCTTCCCTTCATTCCTAAATAGCAAGCTCCAGGTTAGGAACCAATTAGAAATCAAATTGTCCTTACAGTCCATTTCAAAGGTTTGCACTAATAAGCTTATTTCTCTCTTTCTCTCATGTAATATTTTTGAGTCTTACTATGTGCCAGACTCAGAAAGCCCAAAAGAAAAAAAAATGATATTGATCAGGCACCTTATGGAGCCACCCTTGATAATGGAGACTCCCTCTCAACTCCTCTTTCAGCCTTCTTTCTTTTCTTCATAGTTTCTGAGCCAAAAAGGAAGAAACAGCTCTCTGGCTAAAGAGCCAAGGGCCCTGCTCATTCCTGGTTCCCTTGTTTAACCATGAGAACCCTGACCGTGGAAACATCTCCACTTTGGCTCCTGGCCATTAGCAGATAGGGTCACCTGAGTAGGCCAGTGCTATCTCTACAGCCACAGGTCTTCCAGGGCCTGTCCTGAGGCTCATCCAAGTCCCAGCTTCAGTAGACAAACTGCAGATGGTTCTTCTATTTTTAGATCCTGGGCTGTTGCACACGAATGAGCCAGTGAACTGGAAAAGCCAACTCTGTCTCCAATTTCTGCTCCAGACTCCCTCATTCCTCTTAATTGTTCTACCAGAATTTCCCTTGGGCTATGAGACTGGCATGAAATAACCCAGAGATAGTGGAGCTGGACCATGGTCTGGGGACACAAGACCCTGACATTCCATGCACCTGCCAAGACTGTGGCCATCAAGGCTGGTTTTGGGAATCACAAACTGGACTGTTAGTTATGGATGTCTGCTTGTCTACTTATATTGGAGTCTCCACAATTTTCCATCGTGCTTTCCTATCAGTAAAGTATTTTTTGAAAGGCATAAAGAGTTATTAGGCAGAAAAAAGTATGCATTTAGAAGGGAGTGCAGGACCTCAAGAGAGAAGTGCATTACAGTTTGGGATTTGGGGTTTTATATGCTTTGGGGGGTGACTTTAAAATGCGTTATCTAGGATGTATATTCTTTCTGTCTGTCAGGCTACCCATTTGGTGGGCTAGGTTAGAATGCAAACCAAGTACATGTGAAGTTTAGAGCTATGCTGTCCCCTTAATAATGTTGCTTTCTCAAGGAAGGAGGTCTATGGTAGCCTATCAGTAAAACATTTTTGAGCATTCCTGCCAGTTTTTGTTTATGTATTTATTCATAAATTACATACAACTACATTTGTACTAATACATATGTTATAAAGCTTTTATACAAAATTTATAAAGTGAAATTGTTCTAAAGGATAGGAAGTTTGCATACCGCTTTCCTCTACCCCATAGATCTTCTGGCATGTCCCACTACCATGCTTGGATTACATGGTTAAATGAGAAAATATTCTCTGGAAACTTTTTTTTTAATGCTACTAGCCATTGTTGATTTGAGGAATAATGGGAAAGTTCTTGCTGTCTAAAGTATTTTCTCTTTCCTAAAAACTAACAGTATCTGATTTTTTGTTTGCTTTTAGAGGTATTGGGGATCAATCACAGGCTTTTATACATGTTAGACAAATGCTCTATCACTAAGCTAAATCTCAGGCCCATAAAAGTTGTTTTATAGGGAAATGGTCATCTATGGATTAAGCGTCACCTTCTCTCTGAGTTCTCTTAAAACACAAACTTTGAAAGAAGTTGGAGAAGCAGCATGTTGTATCTCCAACAGTTTGGATTAGCACTTAAACAGGTATGCTTTCCACAGATCCCTGAATGCCTGACATGGTGTCCAGCAGGGTACTTACAGGACCAAAGAGGGACCTTTGGGGTATTTTTGTAGACAATGAAGTTTCTTTTTATAGAGAAGCAATGCATATTGAAATAGATTTTACCATCTAGCCAGTATTGGGTAGGTTTCTGATCCTCCTCCCCCCAGACTAGAAAAGGCTATGCACAGGTTGGATTAAGACGACAGATTAAATAAGAGGAGCATCCTTTCCCCTTTATTCTTTCAAGATACTTAGAAATAAATATATTTACAATGGATATAAATGTGTGTCCATAAACAGCATTAATTTAATTTGAAATGCACTGAATTTATAGATTTACATGAGGTGAATAGACATCTTTGCAATTCTAAATTACTGTATTTGGGAAAATGGTATATTGCTAGGTCCCTATCCAAATCTTTAAAGTCTTTCAGCTATATATTAGAGTCATCTTATAGGTCAGTTGAGTGTCTGTTTAATCCTAGGAATTTTATATTTTATTTTATTGTTGTGCTTTGGCTGTTCTTGATATTTGCAAGTTGACCTCCTTAGTTTTTTAAATACATTGTAGAATTATTTTGTCTATTTCCTAAAAAATACTCAGCTAGTATTTTGTTTGAGATTGCGTTGATTATATAGATAAATTTTGGAAAAATTAGAGGTCTACAAATTAGAGTTCTGTTTTTTCTTTTTGGGTTTCTAAGGCAGGGTCTCACTATGTAGTTCAGTCTGATCTTTTACTCATTGTGTAAACATGGCTGGTTTCAAACTTGAGGCGATCCACCTGCCTTAGTCTACCAAGTGCTAGGGTTACAGACATGTACCACCATGTCTGGTTAAGAGTTCTACTTTTTCTCATCTTTTTTATGTCTTTTAAGCAAGCTTACAAAAATTTATTAAGTTTTCAACTTCTGTCTTTAAGAGCATGTGGATTCTTTATTAGTTTATTTCCAAGATATTATGATTTTTTTCCTAAAACTGAATAATGTCTAATTTTCTGATTTTTAGTGTTTTCAAGTCTGTAGAAATGCTACTAATCTTTGTGGTTTGATCTTGTACCCACCTCTTTGCTGAACTCTTTATTAGCTCTGATAGTTTATCTTTGCATCTGTTAAGATTCCTCATATATGAGCACATAATTTGAAAATGAAAGAAGCTGCATTATTTCAATTTAATTCTTAACACCTCTTATTGCTTTTCTTAATTTAAGACAGCATTAGCTAGGATATCTAAAAATGGTGTTAGTCGACATCCTCTGTGTTATTTCTGATCTCCATTGAGTATGATATTTGCACTATATATTGAGTATGATCCTTTGCTAAATTAAGGAAATTAATCCTACTTTCTTAGTCACTTTCTTGTCACTGAGACACAATACCTCACACCCACAAATTAAAGAAAGAGAGGTTTATTTTGGCTCATGTTTTAATTCATGGTCAGCTGGTTCCCAGAGCAGGAACAAGACAGCAGAGAGGCATGGCAGATGTATGGCTGCTGACATCATGGCGTCCAGAAAGCAGAAAAAAAAGAGAGCCAGGAGGAAGATGTACCCTCTCAGGCCATGGCCTCAGAGGTCCACCTCTAACCAGGACACACCTCCTAAGAGCAAGTCAGCTCTAGTGCCCCATAATCCAACCACATTCCAAAGCCCTGCCTTTGAATCCATGGAAGTTTTGGTGGTTATTCCTGATCCAAACCTTAATACCTTCTATTCTTATTTTAGTGAGGGTTTTTACATTAAAATATAAGAAATTTCCATCAAATGATTTTTTTCTTGATCTAATGAGAGATCATTTGATTTTTTTTCTTCTTTGGTCTTGTGTATAGATTATATTCGTGAATTTCTGTTGCCAAATTACCTTAATGTTATGAGAATGAGATTTACTTAGTCATAATATACACCTCTTACATGCTATTGACTTCAGTTGGCTTATATTTTATTTAAGACTTTAGTGTCTATAAGTAAAAATGACTTGTTTTATTTCCTTTCCTATTCTTACTAGGTTTTGGAACTAATCTGCTACTAATTGAATAAAATGAGTTGTGTAGCTTTTACTTTTTACTACTTTATGGAACAATTTTTTTCTACATAAGAGTACTTTATTTTTTAAAAAATACCATTGGAAAGCCACCTAGCCTAGTGATATTTTTTTCCTCTTAGAGATGGAGAGGTATCTTTTTCATTGTAGTTAACAATTTCAGTCTCTTTCTCATCAGTTTATCCAAATTTATATTTTTCTTGGGCCAGTTTTACATTTTATATTTTTTTCTGTAAATATATCTGTGTTGCCTTCATTTTCATTTTATTAGTGCATTTATTTATGCACAGTTGTGCATAACATTCTTTTATGACTGTGCGGGTATTTTCTTTTTTATTTTAAAGTTCATATTTTTGCATCTTTTTTTCTTGATCAGATTTTACTGGAGGTTGGTGCATTTTAGTAATCTTTTCAAAGGTTAAACTTTTGGTTTGATCACACACGTCTGCTTTTAGTTGGTGCTGCTGTAGTCACTGTTTCATTGGATTCAGCCCTTATCTTTGTTTTCTTTCTTATTTTTATATGTGTATGTGTTTTTTGTTTTTTTTGGGGGGGGTACAGGGGATCGAACTCAGGTCCTTGCTCTTGCGCAGCAGGCGGCGAAACCACTGAGCTAAATCCCTGGCCCATGTGTATGTGTTTTTACTTACAACATTCTCTGTACATTTCATTCTTTGGGCTGTTTTTGCTGCATTTTCAAAATTCTGGCCGGGAGTTTTCTTTTTCATCACTCATTTCTCAGAATTTTATAATTTCCTCTATATTTTCTTGTAACCCAAGAATTAGTATTATGTTATTTACTTTGCAGACACACAAGGTTTTAATGTTATTTTATTACTAATTTATAATTTTAATCCATTGTGTTAAGATTATAATATATATATAATGGTGATGGGGAGAAATGTACTGAATCTCTCTTTGTGGTTTGCAAAGTTTTCTATTGTTCTATGTGTGCTCAAAAATGTGTTTTCTCTGCTTATTAATTGTAATTGCAAAGTTCTCATGTAATTATTATTTCAAGTTTATGGAAAAGGGCATCTGACTCTTCTCTATCATTGTTTAGTTTTGGCCTGCTTATTGGATCACTTTCTCAGATGGTTGCATGTGGAGAGCTAACTGCACTATAAGTATTAAGATGGACAACTTGGATTTCCTATGAAAGGGTTAAGTGAAATATTGTAGAGCTTGCTGCCCAGCTCTGAAGAAGTTAGGCATAGGAGAAAGTGATAAGAACAGCACAAGGACATGGAGCTAGGGAAAGGAAAACACGGGACTGTCTCAAGGCCTGGGGAATTTCCAGATGTGCCTTATGTAAGATGTTTTCTATTCTTGAGTGCTATAAAAGAGAGCAATAAAGTCAATAAAGCAGCTCGGTCTCTGAGAGCCCTCCCGACTCTGTCTCTTTGTCTTTCTTTTTCTTCATCCTCACTTCCCCATTCAGGAACCTTTCGACAGGTGACGGCGGGCTCCGTCACAGGTGGCGCCCGAACAGGGACCTGAATAGGGGGCAAATTTGCAGTGAAGGACGCCGCGGCTTGTGGATCCGGTAAAGGTAAGAGCAGCGAAAATACTCGGGAGCAAAAATGGGGCAAGGTAATAGCAGGATGTTGTTTGTGCACACTCTTAAAAACATGCTTCAAGCCCGAGGTACCCGGGTCGGGCAGCAACAACTATGCAATTTTTTGGAGTTTGTTGAAAAAGTTTGCCCCTGGTTCCCTGAAGGAGGAACTGTTAATTTAGAGTTGTGGAATAAAGTAGGGAAGAAACTTGAGGACTATTATGATGGTCATGGACCCACTAAAGTCCCTGTAGATACTTTCAGTTTATGGGCTTTAATTAGAGATAGTTTAGATCCTCGACATGAGAGAGAGAGGGTTAAAGGGCCCTCCTCAAGTCCTTCCCTGGAGAAGTCTGACAAGGCTGAGGCTCCTGAGGCTGTCCCTTCACCTCCCACAGAAAGTGAAACTAAGCCCTCAAGCCCTCTTGTGCTGATGCAGAGCCTGCACTAAATAAAGGCCTTTTTCCGGATGCGGCTCCCTTAGACCCGGGAGATGCTGATGATTTGGAAGAGGAGGCTGCTAGGTATAACAATGAGGACGTGACCGAAGAGATTACTAGGTTGGAAAAGACATTGAAGTCTCTTTGTCAGCAGTGGCAGACAGGCTTAAAGGTGGAAGAGGAAGGCCAAAAGACTCAGGGTGAGGGAGGCATAGTTCCTAACATAATTGTTGGTCTTGATCCCCCGCCGGTTACAGGTCCAAGATTAATAATAATAAAAAAACAAAACTGACCCTCTTATAGCCATGATCAAACATCCCCCAGGTCCCAGACCTTTGTCTGTCAATTCTTGGTCTCTGTCACCATTACAAGCTACCCTGCAACATGCGGTTGACAGAGGGGAAGATACCCAGGGTTAAAATAATTATAGATTTATGGTAAAAAATTTAAAAAAGGGGGGACAACTTCAAAATGCTCTTTTTGTATTTACAGGTGTAAAAGTGCTTTTATTCCTTCTGATTCTAATCTCAAGAGATCTCTGTTAATTGACTATTCCAAAGTTTTGACCAGTCATACAATTATAAATCTGATAATCATAAAAAAGATACTGTAATTCAATTTGGCCAAATATATTTGAGTGCACTCTAATTTTATAAATTGTCTTTTATGTTTGTCTGTTGTCTGTTTGTACAGTTGAGCTCAATTTTTTTTTACAATAAACAGTTGTAAAATAAAAAGATATATA